CTTACCTTATTTTTTGAGTAACTTAGCGGACAAACAATTATTACATTCGCGTTACCCGCACCTGTTTCAACCGATATCTTCTTCCTGATTGAATAAGTAAATTCAGCTGGGTAATATGTACGTCCGAACATCATTTGTTGATCACGTGAGTACCAAAAAAGTTGCCATATATGTATATGTTTTTTTAAATATTCTATCGGTAACGCGTCGGACGTAACGCAACGAAAAAAATGTCTGGAACATGAGTCAAATTTAAAAAAAGTAGATTAAAATTAATTATTTTATATATAAATTGTTAAGGATGTTATGGATTGCTATAAAGCAACAAAAAGTTCTGGTTATTCAATATTAAAAAAAACATGTATGTAAGTTTTATAAAACGCTAATGGGACATGCGAAAATGTGTGTTTCACAAGTTTCAAAATTAAAAAAAAATTATTCTGAAATAACTAAACAAACATTTTCTGAAAGAGTTTACTAAGGGCTTGTTAGGCTTTCACTTGGTTTTTAAATCAATAAGATCCGATAATTTTTAACAAAGTTATTGGAATTCAAACTTACGGACAGCGGAAGGCGGGTGTTTTTTGAAAACGACCCATTTACCAATATGATTTTATCCTTCGGAATAAATTTAAAGCATCCTGCATCGACTGTTTACACAACAAACGTTTATTTTAAATTTATATTTACAGTCCCATAAAAACCAATATAGCCCTTGTTTATCTGAATAGAAATTGAATATTTACAAACTTTTAATTGCGCGTCATCGTTTCAAATTTTATATGCCCAATAACATTTTTACAATCGAAGTAGGCAAAGGCAGTTAAACGTATGTTTTGTTGGGCGAATGTGTCAGATTGAATAACGATTAGATTAAGGTAAGAAGAAAAACTTTACAATTTAGTTGAAAACAATCATTTTTGTGAAAAAATATGAAAAAATATAAATTGTTTAAAAAATTCTAGGTTGTAGTAGAGTCTAAAGAGTAAAGACATTTAAAAAGTTTTAGCAAGATTGACCGTCTGGTTTTCGAGTAAAAAATTATTAAAGTTGCCAAGACTACAAGTTTACTATAATAGCAATAATTGCTAAACTGTGTTGTTAATGTTGACAAAAATTTATATGCAAATTGGGGTGAATATATTATTATTTTTTTTTGTTGTTTCACTGTTAGTCTAGAATGGGGTTTTTGGTTAGGATTTCGTATGGTTTTTTTAAAACATCCCTTTGTATATTTGAAATAAGTTATTGTATCTTTTGACACCTTCATATTTTTAAAAATACAATTGTCATACATAAAATATTTTATTTTATATTTATTAAAAAAATCTACTTACTGAGATATTACACTTCACGGTGGATAGGTTTTTAAATAGCAAATTAATGAACCTAAACTTTTGAATTATAAAACAGCAACACTCTCATCTGCATATAAATTCTAACTGACCTTCAGGAATCACAATGTCATGCATAAAGGTTTTTGATTATTTAAAATGATTAAAGCGCCATTCGTTGCATAAAATTTAAAGCAAAAACAGATTCACGGAGGATATAATCAATTTTTGTAACACCTACATAAATGGTTATAAAAATTATTTCTTTTAATTTTTAATAATATTTTATAATTGATTCGATTGCTTTGGATGTGTTTAATTTACTTAGTGAACTGATATTTTTAGTATGCTTTTACTACCTCAGATATTTGAAAACATATAGGTTAACCTAGAAAAAATAACAGTCACGGAGGATAGGTTTTAGACTTTTAAAACATTGTAAAAAATAATTAATTGCGGTTAAAAATCTAGAACACGAGCTGTAATATCTACATACTTAATTATGAAAGATGAAACCACAATAAAAGTGTAGGTCAAACTCATTTAGTTTTATTAAATATCACGGGGTAACACCATCGGGGGACATTTCGTGAGATTCACCCATACAAGAAAAAAAATTACTCGTCATAAAGAAATGTCACTGCAACTGTCAAAATCGAAAAGCGTTACCATAGAAACCAACCATGAAAAACTTGCAATTTTGTCAGGTTTACACTCAATATTACAAACATTTGAGCCACCCTGTATATAGTAGGTATACCAGTAGGTGTAGTTACCTTTAATTAATTTTAAAACAAAGCATCGTACAAATAATGTAGTTTAATATTTACGGTATTTGTTGAATTTTAATTAACAGTTAGTTGATGGGAATATTGGGTTTCGGCTTATTTTTTTTTTCGCTTATAAACAAAAGAGCAGAAAATTGAAGATTTTATCGTAACACATCCTAATTAATGTTCTCAGTCAGTATACTGCTATAGCAACGGAGTGAAAATATTAATTGGGGTGTACCAATATAATTCTAGTATACGAGGTGTGTTCAGAAAATATCGGGAATTTTCGTTTTTTGACACAAATATTTATTTATTCGTCTACATTAATGTTGTCGCCTTCAAAATAGCCCCCATTGGATATTATGCAAATGTGCCAGCACTTCTTCCAATACTCGAATCACTTCTAAAACTCGATCTTTGGGATAGCCTTTAGTTCTTTCAGCGATGAGCTTTAATGTCATCTATGCTTGCAAAACGACGGCCCTTTAAGGTTCTCTTTATTTTTGGGAATAGGAAAAAGTCAGACAGAGGCATGTCTGGCGAATATGGAGGCTGGGGCATCATTACAGTATTGTTTTTGCCAAAAATTTTGTTCAAAATTTATCAATTTTAGAACAAATTTTGCTGCCACGCGTTTCATACCCAAAACATTCGAAAAAATTTCATGGGATGGGCCAAACAATATACCAACATCATCAGCGACTTCTCTGATGGTTTATAACCATTTCATCCACTTTTTCCATGTTTTTATCGATTGTTAATGTGCTTGTACGTTCGGGGCGTTCGTCATCTTCAACGTCTTCACGGCCATCTTGGAAACTCTTATACCACTTGTAAACTCTTGTTTTACTTATAGCAGACTCACTATAAGCCTTTGTTAACATTTCACAGAATTTATTAAATTTTTTAAGCAAAATTGGATACAAATTCTTTGATCCATTTCTATTAACGAACGAAAAATCGCCGAGCTCATAAAACACGTCTAACCTTAGCGGCTGCCACAGCTAAAGTTTTTATCATACTTCGGGGGCATGTATACCAACATAATAAAGAAAATTTTATGACAACCGGACCCTCTGAACCCGCGAAATTTAACAATACCCGTTATTTTCTGAACACACCTCGTATAAAGTTATAAAAGTGATAAAATACTGCTGTGATATTCGTTAAGTATTAACATATCGTTAATTTGGAAATGGCTAAATAAATATTAATTTGTGCACATGTGGAAAAACTGCTTATTTAACAATTAACTAATAAATCAGAATTCCACCCAAACTTTTGGGAACAATTACCATTTTTATTTTTATATATATTTTTGAACTGCCTTTTTCTTTAGTTAAAAATTGTACATTCCAGTTAAACCGGAAAGGGATATCAACTTGGGTTTTTCAAATGCTTTTGATTTTGTAAATGACAAACTTCGCTAGAAAGTAATTCCAAACCGTATTAATTTACCTTTCGTGGAATACATGTATACATTTTAATATAACTACATAAAACATAATATGATACTTATTACTATACTATTGAACTCCAATAACATAGTTTACATTGCTTACATTATTAACATTATTTACTATTTTGGTAACACACTGACCACAATACTGAAACTACAAATATTTGTACATAAATTAACGATTAATCAACAGGTTTAATTTACTGGCGTAAATAGTATTATTATCCAAAATAGGTGGCTGATTTTAATACTGGCGAAACCCTCAAAAATAGTTTTTTATGTACAGTTCATTTTTTATCTGGAGTCGTGTTTTTTTGTTAGGTTGGTGGCTTATAACAGTTTGACTTGGTATTTTTAGTTTTTAAAAATGGTTCTTCTGCTAAAGAATTTAATTAAATACTTTGACACTGTCAAATTGACAATAATATTTATTATTGATAATTTACTTATCAATTATAAATAAAAAGATAATTATGGCAAAAATAATAGCAACGAATTCGAATGTAAAAGCCCTTTTAAGGGCAAAAATTCATTTTAATGAAATTATGCTAAATGCGACAATGGAAGAAAAAGTACATCGCCTTATGGACATTTTTGGAGTAAAAAAGTAACGAATTAGGTTTTATAAATATTACATCACACATTATTTTCACATTATTCACCATTGGACAACATTTACGTTTACAAAAAATTTTAATTAATTTTATATAAATTCTTTTTAAAGCGAAGATTATTTTCCGCTAGGAATACTTTCTCTTCTGGGCCGTAAAGCAACCTATATTTAACTACTTTTTTATATGATTTTACTCATCCAAGCACCACCAAAGCCAAATTAATTGCATTTTTAACTACGAATTTCGACAACTCAACTTGACAACTGCACAATGTAACCTACAATAATTTATACATAACCACAATTAGATTTATAACTAGCTTAGTTTGTTTTAATCAATGCGACCAACTTGACAACTGTATTTACCAACCAAAACCCTAAATTTGCAACGTTGCCGCAGTTCAGATAAAAAAAGAACTTTATTAAGTTTGATAAATGCCATTTTAGTCACGATTTTAATTTAGCCACAACCAAGTTTTTGTCAATAATAAGGTTTAGTAGTTATAAATGTATTTCTCTGTATATTTAATAGTACATTTTAAAAATGTATCACTTTTATAATGTTAAAAACACATATTTAAGTATATGTAAGATAACCTACAAATCTTTACTGTCATTTAAAATTTGCTATGTTGCCAAATTGGTTTAAACTTAAGTCAGTGGATATGCGTAAATCAGTTGATATAAATAAATCAACGTTTATAAGTGTTTCGTACGCAAAAATAATGCAAATCTTTTTTTCAGATCATCTCGTTTGCAGCGTGGCCCAACGTCTATACAGTTCTTTAAAGAATGATTGGTCTTGTTAAGTGATGTCAGTGATGGCCGACAAGGCCGTTTCCACTGAAGACCTTTGCGTCAAGGAAACTCCGGAGGAACGGGCCTTAGGTGTGGTGAGATTGGAGGCCATTCTGCACACGCTGTTCGAAAACAAGGTGGAAAGTCTTAAGAACGAGAGCAGGAGAGCACAGAGTCTGCAAAGCAGCCCAAGAAAAATATTGAATAGGTAGGTTACTTGCACTAATGCAAGAATTTTAAGAAATCATACATTTTGAATATTAGATCTTCACGGAGGTTAGGATTTCGTATGTTTTTTTTAAACATCCCTTTGTATATTTGAAATAAGTTATTGTATCTTTTGACACCTTAATATTTTTTTAAAAATACAATTGTACATACATAAAATATTTATAAAAAAAATCTACTTACTGAGATATTACACTTCACGTTGGATAGGTTTTTAAATAGCAAATTAATAAACTTAAACTTTTGAATTATAAAACAGCAACACTCTCATCTGCATATAAATTCTAACTGACCTTCAGGAATCACATGCATCTATAATGTCGTAAACAGATGTTTTTGCTTTTTTAAAATGATTAAAGCGCCATCCGTTGCATAAAATTTAAAGCAAAAACAGATTCACGGAGGATAAAATCAATTTTTGTAACACCTACATAAATGGTTATAAAATTATTTCTTTAAATTTTTAATAATATTTTATATTTGATTCTATTGCTTTGGATGTGTTTAATTTACTTAGTGAACTGGTATTTTTAGTATGCTTTTACTACCTCAGATATTTGAAAACATATAGGTTAACCTAGAAAGAGAAACAGTCACGGAGGATAGGTTTTAGACTTTTAAAACATTGTAAAAAATAATTAATTGCGGTTAAAAATCTGGAGCCTGAGCTGTAATATCTACTTAATTATGAAAGATCAAAATACAATAAAAGTGTAGGTCAAACTCATTTAGTTTTATTAAATATCACCAAAAGTCCCTAGTTGGCTAAATTCGTGGTTTCGGAATTGTTTTTTTTAATATAAATGCAATTTTCTGGTAAATTCCTAGTTCATCGCAAAAATTTGTTATTTTATCTAGGGTATAAAACATCGTATTTTTCAATATAACTAACTTTTTTTTAGAAATTCGAAAATCAAACATTTGACGAATTTCTGAAAAAAGAAAATGATATTAATTAACTAATTTTTGAAGAAAATTTGCAAACATTCATTTGAAAAAAAATGTTATTTTTTACTAAGGAATCCAATCTTAAATTTCTCACAACATTTCTGGTATAACGCTTAGTAAAATTTAGCAAAAACATATTTCTATTATCAAAAAAGATTTTGTTTACGTTGTTGAAGAGTATGCCCAAATGTTAAAAAACCATTAATTTATATTTGTATACGACACGGAAAAATTAATTAATACCTATAACAATATTTTTACAATTCATTAAAAAAATTATTTTCTCAAATTTATTGTTTTACTCTTAAAGCCAATTTTTAATTTGAAACAAATTTGGTTTAAAAATCTGTAAAAAGGGACAATTTTAATAAAAATAAAACTTTTAGTAGATTTTATTTAACTCAAATTAATACCTTGAATATAAATATTCATATACAGAATTTGACTGTTAGTTTAAAAAATGGCGAATGCCCCGGTATTAAAATTCGTCAATATTTAAAAATGCAAAAAATGAGGTAGGGTAAACCACATAGTTATTGTACACTTAAGGAATATTATTTATTTAAAATTTATATGTGCCGTTGTCTTAAAGATTTTAGTTTTTTTCTTATAAATATATAAAAAGGATAGTTTGTTTGTTTAAACTTTATTTACGTTTACTTAAAAATAAGAATATTTGAATTTTTAATAATAGTTTTATAAAAACATGCAAAAAGTATAGTAATTTTTTTATTTCGTTTTTGTAAATATTCATAATAATATTTTTTCGGGTGGTATGTTAAAAGTATTTTCCGAATTTGTTAATTTTGTTGCCATTAGTTTTTTATGTTCTCTATCATGCACTATATTTAAATCACTGTTATTCTGCAAGAAATCACTATATTACTTAGGTACTTTCTAAAATTAAATTAGTCAAAAATGTGATAGCGAAAAGCAGCAACAGCAATTTGTATCCAGGACATTTAGCAGTCAATTCCTATGAAATATTATTCGCTGAATCCGAAAATGTCGTCAAAAGTTATAAAAGTAGGACAGTTTTTGAAATATAATCAATTTTACATATAATATAAAACTGCTTAACTTTTATAGTTTTTGACGGTCTTTTCGGATTCAGGGGACAATTTTACACAAGAATTGGCTGGTAAAGTGACAATGTTTAAACCATGAGGAACACATTTATACCACACACTGATCTGTACACTTTTTAGAAATATTTTTTGTTGTAATTTAACAAAAAAACAAAACATTTTACATTATATTTACATTTTATTTCATTCTTGTTTGTTCTGTGGCTTTATTATTATTATAATTGTACTTTTTGTGCTTTGCTCAATTGTAGGTCTCTGCTACGCGTCGGCCTCTAAGATAAATTCAACTAGTTATTTCATATTAGGAATTTTACACAATATGTTATTAATATAGAATATCGAACACCCCAGATATATGCATATGTAACAAAAAACATTTTTTAAGGTTAAGATTGGTATCATCTCCGGCTATAACCACAAAATATTCAGAACAGAAAAATAAAAACGACGGAGCTCAGAACAAAAGAAAATCTCGAAGTTCTGCAGACGGCCAAGAAATTCGACATTCCCTACACCGTAAGTAATTTCATCATTTATTTTATTTTATTTTTTGTTTATTTAGACTACCTATAGAACAATAAATCACCTTCTGTCCAACGTCTTTGGAAACTTATTTGGTTTAGTAACTTAAAGAATGGATGCCATTTTAATAGACTTTTTCTACTCCCACCTTTAAAAGGCCCTTTATCGTACATGTTTCCATGACAAAGTGACCTTTTAAATACACATTGACAAGTTGTGGCTTTACGGCGCTTTAGTCACGGGCTGAAGTTAGCAACAGGTTTTTAGTCACGGGCTGAAGTTAGTTTTAAGTTAGTTGACAGTTGTCAAATGTCATGCAATCGTTAAAATAAAGGGCCTTTCTTGTAAAATAATACTAAATGTGAAAATTATTTTATTTTCTCAATACAAACATACAAAAGTATTAAATAGTTTCTCAACGCCAATATTTGAAAAAGTTTGTATGAACATTTTACTGACCTTTTAATTTCGCCGGCAGTAAACTATAACTTAAATTCGGGCACGGACTCCACTGTAAAGTCCTCATAAAGCATTTTTTTTACTTTCACTGTGAAAACTGTCAATTTTTAAGAAATACATTTCGATTTATAACCTTTATAATCTGTGTTTATAAAGTACAAAAATGTGACATTTGACGGTGACACACAGATTCCCCTATTGTTTCATAGATGGCGCTCTATACAAATTTTTGATTTAAATCATTTTAAGATAATAATAAGTATTTGTCGTAGAAAAAGTATAGTATGCACCTCGTTTATAAACTTTTCTTTACACTCATTAATTTATTAATTAAATTCGTGTATAAAATGGCGTTTATCAAACTTGATACATAATATACTATTGTAGCTCTTCAAATAAAAAAGTAATCCATACTTAGAAGGATAATTATATAACATTTTTGACATGAAAAATGTATTGTTTTCTAACTAAAACTTAAACTTAAAAAATATAAAACGTTTTAGTGCAATTTTTATTATAGTGTAGAAAGCATGTATACGAAACATTATCTTGTGACCCCTTATTCCTTTATTGCTTTCTCCTGTAAAGTTTATGCCTTTGTTCTCTGAAAGAGGATAAAATCCAGAGGAAATAAGACGCGTATACGCGTATACCTACTACACTATTGTAGGTCAATCTTTCAACTTAAAGTTACCAGCATGAAACAATGAATAGATTTTACTTTAAAACCAAATAAACATTCTAAGGAAATGCCGATATTCATAAATAAAATTAATGATCAATTATTTTGTAATAAGTTATATCTCAGTTAGTATGCATTTTACGAAAAAATGTTTAAATAAAAATTGAATGATTCGAGGGGGGAAATCAATCAGTACTAAAATTGGTCCTCATACTCTCCTCCTTATAAGGGGAACAGGGGGTTACTTTAAAATTTCCAAAGGAACACCCTATTTTTTATTGCAGACTCGAATCATTCGACTAAAAATAGGTAGATTTTGTCTAAAACATTTTTTATTATTTGTAATAGATGGCGCTGTAATGAAAAAAAACAATTTTGTTCGATTTTTCTTGTGTATAAGATTCTGCAAACATTTTTCTATACATTTTTTTGGTAACAATTATCTTATTAAATTAAATATGATTTTTTAACTAATATTTAAGTTTTCTTTGCTTTAAGTTTTATACATTATTTCATTCGGTGATAATTATCACATTGCGCACCATGGTCACTTTTTACCTGCCAGCATTAAATCCTTTAATTTAAGGGATTATTGTACTATTTTTAATAAAAAAAAACAATATTTTGTCAAATAATTAATTTAATCCTAATTGATGTATAAAAAAATGGAATTAAGTTATAAATAATAATTATTACTGAGGTATAAAGAAACTATTTATAGTTTAGCGTTATTTAATCAATTTAGTTCGAAGATTAATTTGCAAACAAAAAGACCTTCTTTCGTTAAGCAGTTATTTATAATGGATTTTTTAACAGTGGAAGAAAAAATAGAAATGATTTTGATTTATGGAGAAGCAGGCAGGAATCTTGATGATGCTGTTAATATCTAGCAGTTTACTACAAACGGGAGTGTTCAACCGAAAAAAAGAGATCGTCGAGCAACAGTCACAGGTGGAAATAATGAAATTAATGTATTAGCAGCAACGGCCGCTAATCCTCAAGCAAGCACACTAGAATTATCTGGAGATTTGGGAATATCCCAGAGCAGTGTTAGCAGAATATTAAAACGAAATGCGAATTAATAAATGCATTGAAGTCGAAGGCCACCATTTTGAGCACCTACTTTAATTAAAATTTAAAAAATAAATAAATTTAAAAAACAAAACCAAGTTATTTATACAAAAATTATTGGAAAATCGTATGCAGAAGAAAAATCAAACAAAATTGATTTTTTTATTACAGCCCCATCTATTACAAATATGAAAAAATGTATTAGACAAAATCTACCTATTTTTAGTCGAATGGGGAATAATGCAATAAAAAATGGGGCGTTCCATTGGAAATTTTAAAGTTACCCCCTGTTCCCCCTATAAGGAGGGGAGTATGTATACACATAATATAATATTTAATGCACAAATTTGCCTTAATTGCTTTAAACGTATGAGTGATTTTCAATTAAATTGATTATAATTTCGCTCGTATATTTCATTTTGGTCAATTTGATTTTAAAATCGAGTTAAAATGTTTTGCATGTTATTTAATTAAATGTGTTCATTTATATAGTTATTAAGTGGGTTTTTATTAAAAAATGAAATGGGATGGAATTAAAATTGTATTAATTCAATTTTTATACTGAATAATTTTAGCAATATTTTTTGTAATTATTAAAAAATAATTTATAGGCTTCATGGTTTAATAATTTAATTTATGTATTAAGGCATTTGCATGGTCAAATTAAGAGTACGGAAAAATTATTGTTTGTAATAATATTTGCCGTAGAAAAAGTATAGTATAAAACTCGTTTATAAACTAAGCTAAGCTTCGTGACCAAAATGGCGTTTATAAATCTTATCAACACTCGTTACCGAAATGATTAATTAAACTGGTTTACAAAATCGAAAAAAATTCTGCCCTTATAATTTTCCCATGTATTTTGACCCAGAGCTGGGCAGTAATTGACTTAAAAGTGCTTGAAAAAGTGCTTCAAGCACAATAGTGCTTCGAGCACAGTGCTTGCAAGCACTTTTAAAATAGAGTGCTTGGTAATTGGTAATTGAAGCCCTTTATAAAAAGTGCTTGGTAATTGGTAATTGAATTTCGCATTTCAAGCCATTTGAGTGCTTGCAAGCACTTAAAAGGCTTGCAAGCACTTTAAAGGGCTTGCAAGCACTAAAGGGCTTGCAAGCACTATCAGATGCTCCCGAGCACTTTAGACTCTAGAGGGAAATGCCCTTAGTAACAACCCTGTGGTTTCATCATCATCTAATGCAGTGTGCGGTGCAGCATAAGCTTTAATGTGATTGGTTGGTTGAAGGCCGACTTGGCCAGTACCTTTCTCCATCTTGCAGATAATTTGTACTTATTTTTTGATGATTTCTTCACTTTAATTGTTTTGCGTCATGTTGTGTGGACTAATAAATTAAAAACAAAAAACTTTGGTTTGGTTATTTTAATATAACGATCATCCAAAAATGTTTCTTATTTTTAAAATAAAGATGTTAATTAATTGGGTAGGAAGCAATTGGAAAACTAAAAAGTGCTTGGTAATTGGTAATTTATTTAAGAAAAAAGTGCTTGCAAGCACTTTTTGAGTAATTGGTGCTTGTTAATTGAATTTTTCAATTACTTTTCTCGGTAATTGGTAATTGCAAGCACTTAAAGTTTTCAAAGTGCTTGATGCTTGGTGCTGGCAATTACTTTTCCAAAGGGCTTGGTGCTTGGTGCTCGAAGCACTTTTTTTTAGTGCTTTGCCCAGCTCTGTTTTGACCCAATAAAGACGAAAATCACAATCATTTTTTTTATGGAAGCGATTTTAATAACTTAAAAAATTCGTTTTTATGGCAAAAATTGAGGTCGAAAATTTACATATCGTCCTGGGAAAGGTTTAAATTAAATAGATAACTCCAGTTTGAATTTTTTTCGTTAAGCTGACATTTTTACAAAAAAAACAATCTAATGTTGGTAAAACTACATGGAAAAATGGCGAAGTTATGAATTTTTTAGTGGAAGACCAAAATTCAGCTTTTTGATGATTTTTATTTTATTTTTTTTCTTTCATTTTGTTATATGTTTATTCTTTAATGAAATCGTAAATATAGTGCATTATTGGAATTTTTTGAGTTTTTTACGTACTTTTTTTACCGAAAACATTATTCAAAATTTAAATTTGACATGACTCCGCAAACGTGAATTCTTTTGTTTCTCGTGTTGGCAAAGTAACATTTTACTGCTATTTTTTGATATTTCAACAAGGTATTTTTATCATGGTTTTATTTAGTTAATAAAAAGTGTAAAATTAGTAAAAGAAGTAGAGAGTTCGAGTGCGTAAATAACCCGCACAATCTGGGCGACGTAAGTGATGAGCACGGAGAACGTTTTCACCAGCAAATGAAGGTTATGGAGCGGCGGTATCACGGCTTCTGGGATGCAGCCACGATGGGTGATTACATTTGGTCCCTCATACGAGAAACGGAATACGAAAGCAACAAAAACAAAGAAGGAGCCAGAGTTTTTTTAACTTATGCTTATTAAAACAAAATAAAACTTTCAATATCTTCAATGTTCAATATTTATTGTTTAATATAAAAATCAATGTTCAATATTAAATTTTAAATATTTCAATAAAATGAAGAAAAAACGTAAAAATTCTCGAAAAACTGAATTTTGGTCTTCCACTGAAAAATTCATAACTTCGCCATTTATCCATGGATTTTTATCAACAGCAGCTTATTTTTTTCCTTTAAGTATAATCTATACGTAAAATAAATCAAACTGGAGTTATCTTTTTGATTTCTATATTTCCTAGAAAGATATGTAAATTTTCGACCTCAATTTTTGTAAAAAGGGACTTTTTCAACTTGATAAAATCGCCAGTATCGAACTACTGAGCCGATACCAAAACTATACAAGAGAAAGTTGTAGAGGGCTCAATTACCTTTGATTTAAGTGCTTGTTTGGTCAAATCGATCAAAACTTGAAGCTAGTATTTTTTTTTATAATATAATTTGACAACTTAAAAATAACTTCAGCCCGTGACTAAAAACCTGTTGCTAACTTAATAATATACTGGGCGTTTTAAAGGTGGAGTAGAAAAAAATCAATTAATTGCCTTTTTTGTTGAATACAAAATATTACAATGTACGTATTTAATGCAGGTCTTAGACAGGATGGCTCTTATAGGCCCCAAAGTTGGGAATGCTCCTGCGAAGAAGCAGAAGAAGAAGAAGAAGATCCCAAGGCTGAAGGAGGTGTTATGCCCTATGGGACAGTCTGCACGGATGGCCCATGTCCCAGCTGCATAATTCCACCCGACTGTTGCTGCGCCGCTGACCTAAACGTGTAAGTGAAAATAATTCTAAATTTTGGTTAGTTAAAGGGTTTGTTAACTACGAAGTGTGTTTAGAAAATATCGGGATTTATCGTTTTTTGAAACAAATATTTATTTATTCGTCTACATTAATGTTGTCGCCTTCAAAATAGTCCCCATTGGATATTATGCACATGTGCCAGCTCTTCTTCCAATACTCGAAACACTTCTAAAACTCGATCTTTGGGATAGCCTGTAGTTCTTTCAGCGATGCGCTTTTAATGTCATCTATGCTTTCAAAACGACGGCCCATTAAGGTTCTCTTTATTTTTGGGAATAGGAAAAAGTCAGACAGAGGCATGTCTGGCGAATATGGAGGCTGGGGCATCATTACAGTATTGTTTTTGGCCAAAAATTTTGTTCAAATTTTAACAATTTTAGAACAAATTTTGCTGCCACGCGTTTCATACCCAAAACATTCGAAAAAATTTCATGATATGAGTCAATCGATATCCCAATATCATCAGCGACTTCTCTGATGGTTTATAACCATTTCTTCCACTTTTTATCGGTTGTTAATGTGATTGTGTGTTCGGGGCGTTATTCATCTTCAACGTCTTCACGGCCATCTTGGAAACTCTTATACCACTTGTAAACTCTTGTTTTACTTATAGCAGACTCACTATAGGCCTTTGTTAACATTTCACAGAATTTATTTAATTTTTTAAGCTACATTGGATACAAATTCTTTGATCCATTTCTTTTAACGAACGAAAATCGCCGAGCTCATAAAACACGGCTAACCTTAGCGGCTGCCACAGACAAAGTAAACAATGAAAACAGCTACAGTTTTTATCATACTTCGGGGGCAAGTATACCAACATAAAAAAGAAAGTTTTATGACAACCGGACCATCCGAACCCGCGAAATTTAACAATTCTGAACACACCTCGTATGCTTTATTATTATGATTTTTTTGACTATTTCTTTGAAGAATTATAAATATGATATAATTTTTGCTAATGCATGAGTCATCGATAATTATAAGCCAATGAATTTCCAGTCGCATGCACTTCGACGACGACTATATTTCTTTGAAAATCGAGGAAACTGATGAAATCATATCGGAGGAGGCGTTGCGACGCGCTAAGCGTAAACGACGCCGTCGACGTAAGCGTCGCATGAAGCGCGCCATCGCCATGGGCACCTATGATCCAGAGGCGGCCACGCACATTCACGACAGACGGTACAAGAAGGTAAGTAGGTCTTGGCTGGTGGATATAATTCAACAGCAAATGGAAAAATATAAAGGGTGGGCCATGTTTATGTTGAATTATAAAATAGCAATGAGAACAAGAAAAACTGAATTTTTTCAACGAATTTTGCTTTATTTGATACAATGTTTCTTCCGATTAGGTATGGAAAATGATTTTATTTAAGTGGCCACCTCAGCTGGCTCGGCAGTAGCCCATCCTGGAGCACTTTGTCAAAAGTTTGCTGCTCTATTTAGGCAATTTGAGCTTGAATGTTTTGTTTTAAATGGTGTATAGGCTTTGTTACGGCGACGTTTTGCTTGTTGACATAACCTCCGAGGTAAAAATGCGCCTCATCCGAAAAGATGATTTTTCTTGCAAAATTAGGGTCATCGTTCAACTGGTTTAAAGCCCACTCAGCAAAGCGAAAACGTTGTGGATGGTCAACTTGCTTTAACTCCTGAACAAGCTGGACTTTGTACGCAAACATACCGAATTCTTTGTGCAGAATCATCCTCAGAGTGGTACGGGAAAGGCCGAGTTGTTGACATCTGCGCCGAGTTGATGTTGACGCGTTCAGGGGTACATTTTCGGCCACAGCAGCGATTACTTCAGGTGTACGTCTAGGACGAGCATGCGAAACATGTTTTATGTCCACCAGCAAACCATTTCTGCACAATTTTTTGATCAAATTTGTAATACTTTGGTTTGACGGCGCCTCATTTCTTCCAAACGCAATTTTCTTGCCGTCTCTGCGATCACAGTCACATTCAAAGTAAGTTTTGAGTATTTCGAAACGTTGATCTAAATTTATTCGGTGCATATTTTGTAATCGGAAGGTTAAAACTAAACCACTGTCAGCAATCCATGGCGCTTAAGTTAAAAGCTTCATTAATAGCACGTAGTTTAAAATTTAACTTATAGATGGCCCACCCTTTAGAAGTGTATAGGATGACTCCCCGTTTGAATACTAAATCTTAAAGTTTTATCAGAACTGTGAATCGTGCTTTGTTTTTATATTTTTCGTCTCTATACCTATGCTCGACTATAGTTAAAGTCAAACTCAATGCTGTCTTACCAGATACATTATTTTGATTTTCTATATTCAACAGAGAGGTAGAAACTCGACCCTGCCGAATGGCGCAGTCATTTACGTCTCTAGAAATTATTGAAAAAGGGGCAGCCTAATGGTGCAGCAACTTTGGATTCTTATTCTCTTCAAAGACTCAAGCTTTTCGAATTTTACTGGCAATGATTTTCGTTAATGTCCCCGAGAATTATACAAAAACAGCGCAATGCAATATCGCAACGGTTTCGACTTCTCTTTATATATAAGTTATAGAAACTGGAGTCTCTCTAATACTGTTCTAATCAATATTTCTGAGAGCATAAAAAAAGTGTAATTCAATATTGCAAGAAGTTTTGATCTTTTGATGGATGCAAGTATTTTGAATATTCTCATTTCTGCATATAATTTTGTTGAAAACAGTTCATTTCTTCGGTTCCTTTGTCTGTTTTTTATTTACCGTAACAACTCAGGTATGAAAATCACAGAGGATATGATGTAAAGTATATTTATGTATTATATAAAGTACCTATATTGTATTAAAAATTTAGATTATGTTGAAAAAACGATCGATATGCTATTAAACTTTAATAATTTAGTAATAAGTTATGTTGGTTGACCCTGCACTATCTCCACTGGTATATGCTAGTACAGCAATATTTAAATCTGGTTGATCAAAAAGTACACACCAGGGCAGGTTATTGTAGCATCTACGAACAAATTAATTAATGGCCCATTGGCAATTATTCCTTTAGGAAAAATATTCAACACAGCATGATTAATTAATAAAATGAAAAAAATCACAATCATGTCGTATATAGTTTTTTTTTCAAGAATAAAATAATTTTCATATTAATTAATTAGACCTCTATACTGTGGAGAGTATTGAAACGCTCGATTGACGAATACCGTAAAATGGGGTGAATGGGAACACTTTTTGACATTTGATCAATCACAGCGGCCGTATAGTAATATTTTTAAAGACCGTTTTGGGCCTAAAAGTCCTATGGGGTCCTGGGCTACCTATAACCAAAATTTGAAAATAATAGATTTTTCCAAAATATATATTTTTTATTTTAATGTGCTTTGTTCCTATTGCCCCGGTATCAGTCGATATAGGAACACCAATGTTATTTTCCCTTGTATGCCGATTTAACGCGTTAAAGGTGTAATAGGAACACAATATATTTTTTTTAAAAGCGGCGAAAAATTCATATAATGTGATTCAGACCTTGGGTGGGAAGAAAAAGACCAATATAGGTATAACTCAAAAATATTTTCTTTTATTATTTATAAAACGTATAACCTATATAAAAATAAATAAAATACATATTCTAAAAATCAACATAATAAAAAAAAAAAAAAACCTTTAAAAGTGTCTAAATTTCAAAATTTTCCCTGTTCCGATTCACCCAAATGCGGTTCAATTTTTTTTTATAAAATTATTAGGAAAAAGTGGAACACATTTTCAACAATTTGACTTTTTTATATTTTAAATGAATAACTAAGACAACAATCACGAAAGTTTCAGCTTATTTCATTTACCCCTTTTACGTTTTCCAGATGAAGCTTTTCGGAGCACCCATACGATAACAAAACTTGCTCACAATTTGAGGTTTAACCATAATGACAGCTACACTGTTACCAATTTTTCAATGCTACCAACTAGCAAATACAACATTCCTGTACATGAAAATCCACAAAAGTTTTTGATTTGTCAATTTAAATTAACGTAAGAAATGTTTAAAAACTTTTTCCCACTTTTGTCCCGATTTCCCCTTTAGTTCCCATTCACCCCATTTTACGGTACAACTCTATACCGTGGCGAGGGTTTAAAAAACTGTATTTAAACGTGGCGTCACACAGTGTTTCAATTCTAGAAAATATCGGCAAAAGCTCAAAAATTTACATTTTTTTTCAGGTAAATTTTGAGTTAGATGGGTGGTTAATACCTGTCTCCATTCTGTATTAAAAAAAATTATATAAAATACGTATATTTTGTCTTGTATAGCAGTTTAAACTTGACGCTTTCAGTTGAAGGTACTTTACACGCGATCGCTGCGAAAAATTGTTTATTGTTTAAAATTGGTTTGGTATGTCCGATTGTTATGCGGTTTGATGAAGGGTGATCTTCAAGGTATTTAAAATTCAGATATATATTTGTTTTTCGTAGATTTTGCTTGTACAACGTGTTATTGTAACTGACAAGATCGGTCTGTTAAAATCGCAAACTTTGAATCGAGCTTTTAGAACAATGGAGCTACAAAAATTGTAATGAATTGTAAGGCATCAGTTCAAGATCCGTTGAATAGCTTAGAGTTTTGTCTATCAAGCCATCAATAAATTAGCTGCCCCAACTTGCCCCCGGCTCTTTAAAAATACATGTTCTTGGGCGCTCAGGCACGGTAGTGGTAAAAAACCTCGCGATTTTAAGCCTATATACAGTGCGTCCAATACACTTCTATATTTTTCCGTTTGACGTGTAATATCTTTATTCTTTTATCTGTACTTTACAGAAAGAAAAACTGTACGTAAAATTAATAAACTGCTGCGTTAAATTGTTGTACATTAATATTATGTATTGGTGATTATAACAATGCTTTTTGATCATAGATTAATAACTTTCATCTACGGATACCAAAAAATTGTTAAAAAAATATACCTTCTTTATTTATGGCACAACGTTAAATTTACGTTATGCCTGGTTAATTCATTTAAGTAATATTGCAACTTTCCCCTAAAATAATTTACTTTGTAGCTCTTCAAATAAAAAAGGATACTTAGTACACCCTGTATACATATTTATAAATAAATATATTTTTTTAATAAATTAATATTTATTTAAATAAAAAATAATGTCAATTTAAAGAATATTCATGATATAATATTTCTATAAAATTTCCTGCAGGGAATAATACAATTTCATTTGTTTCACATTTATATTTACCCGGTTTATAAATATACATTTTACAAAAGACCGAATTGATTTTTAGATAAGTAGGTACACGACTTTTAATTAATTAATTTTAATGATTGAAACGTTTTCTTAGAATGAATTGGAGGTTTGAATTTACGTTAAAATTAACATAATTACAATAACATGCATGGTAATACCATGGTAAAAGTTGTCAGGAATATTTTAAATTAAAAAACAGATAGCGTTTCTGAATATGGCATATCCAAAAATCCCTAATGCGATAATTTTGTGATAAAATGTTATACAGGATGAACAAAAAGTAAGGTCAAATTTAGAGGAAAAAAATTTTAACACTACAAATTCTAGCAAAGATTTTGCAAAAACATTACCTATGTAATTTTTTTAGGTACTACACTATACATTCGCTTAGTTTTGTTACTCTAGCTCATACAGAGTGTTTACAAATTAAGGTCCAAAATTATAAAAAAAATGGTATTTTATATAGAAACTGGCTAATACAATTTTTTTTTAAATTTTATTCTGTACTATACAAATGGCTTTTAGGTACTGGACGATGAAGACTTGCCACAACCAGCGAGGTGGACAATTGTGGCTACCGCCTGTATATTACTTTTCATGTGCCTCCTCCTCATAGGAATCACCCTAAGGATGGCTCCCATCATTGATGATATGGGTAAGAATTCCCACATATTAAACACGGTGGTCAAAACTTAAGTATAGGACGAACAAAAATGCCAACCAAAACTGATAGCATATTTTGGTAACACTAACATGTATTTATCAAAATCCCTGATCCTATTTTAAAGTTTTGCAAACTTTTTTGTTTTTCTATTTCCATATATTATTTTGCATTTATTGTACTAAAACTTCCTGTACAATTTTAATAAAATTAAGCAAAATAATAAACTTTCTATCATTTAAATTACTTTACTCCCCAGTATTAATTTATTGAGTCACCTATTATTTTTTACCACTCAAAACAAAACATAAAAAAACCAAAATTTATATCTTAAATATTTTGTATAACAAAAAATACTGGAAGTTTGTCTATGAAATAATTACAACTTGCAAATTTTGTAAAACAATAATTAAGGTGGTTATGAAAAAAAATGCTATACGTTATAACGCAAGTGACATTTTGCTTTAGTTGTTTATTTAATGTATACTTTATAAAGTTAAAAATGGTATTTTAAAATTAAAATTAAACCGAAATTCAAGTTAAGCCATGAAGAAAATCGAAAGAAGGTATGTGCTGGCTGTGGAGACAAAATTGTTTTTGGTAATCGAAAAATTCAGAGTTTAGGGTTTCTGAGAAAATATAAAAATTACTGCAGACTTTTTCAAACGAACACTTTAACTTAATTGATTCAAAATTACCTACTTCAATATGGTAAAAACGGTATTTTTCCATAGACACAATTGCCAAATTTTCAAAATTTAGAAATTGCTAGAGAATTTCTCGGCAGCCAAGAATGTATTTCCTTTATCTGCAAAATGGCAAGATATAAAGGGCATAAAAAATTATTAAGGGAAGAGGACGGACGAACGAACTAAAGTTTTGATATGCTCTTCCTTTGTATGGGATATCGCTAGATGTAAGAAGCATGTTTGTACAGAGACTGAAGAATTTAAAAATACTGTTTCCATATTAAAAACAATTCCATGTAAAAGCCAAGAACAAGTTTTACTGAAAATTTAAGGCAAGCAGTAATCGATTTTGCTTCAAAGAATCTTTAGTTATTTATTAGTTTTGTATTAGATACCTTAAAACAATAAATAAGATATTGCAAACTGTATTTTACATTATTTTGTATTTATAATGTAATTTATCCATATTTCAGTCATGTATCTGCCAAATTTTTAAAAACATTTGATAATAGTACTAGAGTATTTTATCGAAATGGCATAAACAATTTTAAAATACTAATAAATATGCAAAACTTTAATAAAGGATCAGCTTGGATTTTGATAAATACATTTTTGAGAATCTATAATTCTATAATCAGATTATGCTATCAGTTTTGGTTGGCATTTTTGTTCGTCCTATACTGTAGTTTTGACCACCTTGTAAATAACTCTTAAATAAGGCGGTATATTTTTAATTTCGTGAATGAGGAATTTTTATTTTTTTAATTTCTTGAAAAAGTGTTAAGTGGGAAAACAGTTTTAAAACAAAAATTTTCAAGACCGTAAATGACGTACGTTGTTTGCACTATTAGAAAGGAATAAACATTATTTCGTACTATAAATTTAAATTTGTATATAAATGCATGTAAATATGTCTGTCTATTTTTATCGAACGGGATTTGTGTACTTACGAGTTAAATATCTGCTTCCAATCGTTTAGTGAAAATGACCGAAGCAGCTTTATATTCAACTGAAAGCAGAAGGGCTCAATCTTTGGAAAACCTGGGTTTTAAAATACTAAAATTTCCCAATGAAGTTCGACGAAAAAGTTATATACCACGGACTCACAGAAGAACTCCTGATAAATTTGCACTGGAAATTTCAACATCTTCACTGACCACCACTAGCCACAGAAAAATGTCGGAAAATTACCGGGAAACCTGTAAATACCACAGAAGAAAACTTGCTGTCTGCGTGATTGTGAGTTCGTTCTTTTTCCTATTAAGTGTCAGCATTCTGGTGGTTGTCATAACTTTAACCCACAAGAGTTTTTATCATTTCACGCCTCCACTAAAGCGACCAAATTTAACGGATTACCTAGACGATTGTGATGATATAAGCTGTAAATAACTTAATAAATGTTTCTATTACAACGGATTTCATTAAGTTACCCTTTGTCAGTTGATTTAAGGTATGTATGATATGCAGACTATTCAAAACAATCGAATATTTTTTTACATTCGACCATGCCCATTTGTGGTAATTTAAAAAAATAGAAGTGGTTAAAATAACCCCTAAAGTAAGTTATAAAGTTGAGAAATTGAACATAGTTTTTTTCATTTACTTACTTTTGTACTCAAAATTTTTTTATGAATAATAAATGTTTGTTCTTTTTTTTAAACAAATCCTAGTATAAATAAAACTTTAAAGGATTATTGACAAGCAAAAAATATATTTTCAAAATGATTAAGCATTTTTATATAAGTTTTTTTAATATGTTTTTCTTTTTTAAGGGCCTATTTAAAAAAATTCAACTGCCCACTTTTAAATGTTAAATAACACACCTAAATAAACAAAATTTGGAAAAACATGTTTGTAGATTAGTTTTTAGTAAAAAGTAATAGTTATTTATGTCATTAGGTTAAGAAGTAAGGCTTTTTGTGCTAAGCTCAAGGTTTGAAGGCCGACGCTTAGCGGAGGCCTACAATTGAGCGAAGCACAAAAAGGCACTTCTTGGCCGAATGGCATACAACATTTTATCTTCAAAGCACTTTATATAGGTCATTTTAATTCAACATCAAATCGGCCTAACCTCACTTTTTTAGAATCTCATTTATTTATTAGCTAAAGATTACATTAAATGTACAATAATTATTATTGCTTTTAGAAGCAATAATAGTTTGACAATACCAGCAACATGATTTAAGTAGAAATGGATTTTTGGTCTTACATTGAATTCAATTAATTGTTTAATAAATAGGTAGGTATCTAATTTCAATTTGTTTGGATTTTTATTTAAAAAATAGGTAGTTTGGAATGTTTAAGCTGTGTTTAACATTTAATTTCACTGAAAACTTAAAGCAAATTAAAACTTAAAGATAATTTAAATCGTAGAAAAAGAATCGTGCGTTTTCTTGGTTGCCTAACTTCACTTTTTGTTTTATTATTAATATTTAATTTTACAATAATTTAATAAAAAATATTTAACATTAACAGTAAAACAAACAAATAAGTGCTTATTATAAATAAATTAAACCAGTTTAGTACGTTAATTTCTTTGAAAAGGATTAATTTATCAAAACAATACCCCTAGCGAGAAAAAATCGAACTAATTACTTGCCTCATAAAATTTTGTATCGGCCTAGGCCATAACAAGGTATTTCTTTATCGAATGTTGACAACAATAAAGTTTAAATTATAGACCGCGTGAAGATAAAAATTTTTACTTTTTTTTCTTTAAATGTTTCATAATATTCATATTTTTAACAAACAATTTTTTTTTATAAAAAATAAGATTTTTTTTCGTTTTTTACCCGTTTGTAAATGGAAAAATATCCAATAAATTATTAACTTTTACTTTTATTAGTAAAAATTTAAGATTAGATTTGTTTTACAGTATTTTGAAAATTTATACTTTTATGCTATTTCTAGTGCCCAATATTTTTTTCCCTTTGCACAAACTTCGACTGTTTGCGAAGCATGGGCAGCCATTAAAACAAGTACGGTTTAAACTTTTTAATGATTAAATAATACCAATTTAAAATTACTGTGGTTCTTTACATGCAATTTAAGTTTGGTAAACTCTACTAATTGTTATTTACATAGCATATAAATAAATGCTGGGTGATGTTTTAAAGTCAAATAGTTAAAAAGTTAAAACTGAAAATAAACCAAAAAATTCAACAAAGTATTAAAACCAATTCGAATGTAATTAAAAATAGAAAGATACATTTTTATTTTACTTTGTGAATAACAAAATAAATATTGTGAGGATAAATAAATAAAACAAAATGTGAATTTAATATTAAAAAAAAACTTCAAAAATGGCGAATGCACCGGGATCAATTTTGCAAAATTTAATGGACTTATTTAAACTGAATTATACAGGCTGCCCTAACCTTTTATTTAAAATTCTTGAAAAATTATTTAACGAGACACACTTAAGTTTATTTTCCCCAAATTTTTTTAAAAAGGGCACTCTATATGTGTGCAAAATTTTAGCTTGATCAGATAATCGAAAGTATTTAAATTCTATTACAAAAATTGATTGTTATATGGGTGATTCTACAAAAGTGGGGCAACTTTTTACCTCATTTTTTTTATATAGTTTCCGGAGAAAATTAAACAGTATTTTGTTATGAGAACATAGATAATGTAATAAATATACTGTTCCAGACCGGGCCAGTCACTTTTTCAAACAGTTTCTGAAATATCTGTGTTTTCTAAATTTGAATGCAAGGGAAGTACGAGTATTCCAGGGTACTAATTAAATACATAATTTATTGGAAAATATAAGATTTATTGCAACTTTGAGCATATTATACATTAAATATCTTAAAATCAAATAATACCACACATCAGTGGCGGCTGGTGGATTTTGGGTATACCGATATCTCAATTATTAGATATGGGACCCACACCAAAAAAATATGACATTAAATAAACAACTTCTGCGCAAGCAAAACTTAAATTGAAGTTTTCGAAAAAAAGATAACCGAAAGATCGAACATGGAACTGACGACACGGTACTGATGAATGGGAAATTTGAGATTATAATTCGGAATTAAGTATTTTACTGATATTTTTTATTAGTGGATACTACTTATCAACAAATCACATATAGCCTTATATAAATTACAATGAAATATATATACGTAAGAAAATAACTACTCACCACAGTACTGAAATTCGACAGGAACTATACGTGCATTCACCACAACTTCGCCGCTTGCATTGTTTTCAAGATGACTGTCGTGCAAAGGGCGGGCTCTGTAGGTAATTTTTTTACCAACACTTGAGTTAAAACGAGGACTTGACGTTTAAACTTCAATATTTCGCAGGAATTTTGAATTTTAACATTGGACACAGAACTAACGGGTGAAAGTGAGTACAAAGATTATCAATTTTTAAAAATTGATATTATTCGAATCTATGATAAAATATGAAGAATACATTATTTAATGTTTTATAGTTTGTAGTAAAATTGAAAAATTTAAGATAAATTTAATATATTTTAAAATAAAATCACTCAAATATTTGATTCAGGAGTTGTGACACGCCAAGGTACTGATGTTTTGAATATGTATTATGTTTTTTACAAACGTGCTTTTGAAAAAATACATTAAAATTGGGTGGACAAGTTAAAAAAACCTGGATCTTTTGTAATATACTAAAATATTTACAAAAAATATTAAAATACCTACTCCATTGACTGATGACATCAAGTTGTCCAACTTTTGTAGAATCACCCATATAGCCCTGTATATTATATAGGAAGTTCTATAAAATTTTCTACCTCAATACTTTAAGTCTTATTTAAAAAAATCCTAATGCAAAAACGAAGTGGAATGACCCATATATATATTTTTTGGAATACCAATATTAGTTTTGTGTGATTTCTGTTTTATCATTATCTTGTTTTTTTCAGTTTTTAAAGAGAATGAATATACCAAAATTTGTTTATTATTATTTTTGTTTTAATATGATTTCTGTTTCATCATTATTTATGTTTTATCATTATCTGTTTTTTCAGTTTCAAAAGAGAATGAATATAATTATATAGTTACAATTACAATCATTTTGTAATACAAAATTTTTTTGTGATTTCTGATTGATCATGATTTCTGTTTCATCATTATTTCTGTTTCATTATGATTTCTGTTTAATCGTGATTTCTGTTTCATCATTATTTCTGTTTTTTTTTCAGTTACAAAAGAGAATGAATATAATCCTGTAGTAATTACAATAATTTTGGAATGCCAAAATTTGTTTTTTATGAATTCTGTTTCATCATGATTTCTGTTTCATCATTATAAATCTGTTTCTTTTTCAGTTCGAAAAGAGAATGAAGAACTGATGAATTCTCTATCAAAGGGATACAATTTGACTGCCGTCCGTAGTTTGTCGTGACTTGTCATTTACATTGCACTGTCTTTTTCAAAAACTACCCTTGGTCAATTATACTAATTTACCATTTCAAATATAACTGTCAGGATTGACCAATGGTCTTTTAAGAAAGAGACAAAATCGCGACTTGCACTGTATACTACACAAGGTCTCCATTCCAGTCAAAAACAAATTAAGGAGTTTTTAAAAATCAAACTAACTGAATTTTTTTGGAACTTTTACCTCGTATGTAAAATATACCTAATATAATTTTGGTGACTTTTATAATATCATAAAACTTTCTACTATACGGGTCTCTGTAATGGTTGTGGTCGAAGGACTATGTTGTAGGTTTTTTAAAAACACTCTGTATAATAATGGTTCTTCTTGCATATTATTTTGTCGAACAAGGAAGACCGGCGTCCCAACCCAATTAACAACATTATTGCATATTAATTGATCCTACAATATTGATTTTTCATGCGAATTTGCACTCTAAAACAAATTCGGGTAATATCGCACAATAAATGGGCCACACTGTATATAATATACTATAATAAAATAGTATTAATAAACACAGGTTGCTTCTGATTTTTATTCTACATTACTATAACATTTACATTGCTGCTTTAAATTAAAAATTAAAATTGCATTGAATTAAATTATCTTAAAATATTAGGTATATAAACATATATATATATATATATATATATATATATATATAGGGTAAACCACATAGTTATTGGACTCTTAAGGAATATTATTTATAAAAACATGCAAAAAAGTATAGTAATTGGACATTTTATATAGTAATTGGACACATGGACCATAGTTATTGGACATACAAATTTTATATAAACATAACAACTTTACATCAAATAACATAAATTGTTAAATATTTTTTAAAGAGAAATTGCTGTTTTACGTAATTTTTTTATTTCCTTTTTGTAAATATCATAATATTTATATATTTCTTTTTTAGTCTGACTTCTGAAATAGTTTGTTGCAAATATCATTAAATGTGGTATCTCTAGTTTGTGAAGCATTTATAATGTTTAGGCCGGAACAGGATGATTTATATATATATATATATATATATATATATATATATATATATATATATATATCTAATATTTTTTCGGGTGGTATGTTAAAAGTATTTTCCGAATTTATTAATTTTGTTGCCATTAGTTATATGTTTTCTATCATGCACTGTATTTAAATCACTGTTATTTTGCAAGATGTAATGTGAAGAAGAAATCACTATATTACTTATTCTCTAAAAATGAATTAGTCAAAAATGTCATAGCGAAAAAGCAGCCACTAATAATAATTATTATCGTCAACAGTAATTTGTATATAGGACATTTAGCAGTCAATTCCTATGAAATATTCGCTGAATCGGAAAATGTCGTCAAAACTTATAAAAGTAGAAGAGTTTTTAAAATATAATCAATTTTACATATAATATGGAATTGACTATATCTCAAAAACTTACATAAGAATTGGCTGGTAAATGTCCGGGATACAAATAGAGTATGATATTGGACATATGTCCAAAAATAGAAATTTACATTTTTTACCAACCAGTAATTGGACACTAACCATTTGACTGTTTGTTTTCAGAATTAAAATTAAAACGCATTAAAGTGACAATGTTTAAACCATGAGGAACACATTTATACCACACACTGATCTGTACACTTTTTAGAAATATTTTTTATTGTAATTTAAACACAGCCCTGCTCTTAACAAAAAAACAAAAATCTCACCACCAAAGAAACGTGCGAACTTTTTTGTCCTATATTGGACCCAAAATAAAGTAGTTCTATATTATTAATTGTATACAGCGTCATCTGATGATTTGACTTTAAGGTAACTATTTATAGAACTCTTGTTTTAACAGTATTAATGTTAATTGACCAATAACTGTCTATTTTACCCTATATAAACAAAATTATTAACATCATTTTGATTGTTGGTATACATAATATTAAATAAGATAATATTTTTTTTAAGGTGGTATTAACTGATATTTAGTCGGAACCTTTATATACCAGGTCCTATCCGAAAAGTCCTTAAATCCTGTGTGAACTATTGTGAATTTCTGCTGTTTAATATAGAATTAATTGTATTATATACGTGTATGTATGTATATAACTTGCTGTTGAAATATGTTAAAATTATCCATCTTCAAGAATATAATTTTAAATATTTTACTATAATTTGCATAATTTTGTAAAATATCATTTGTATTGTTTATTTTTTAATATCCTGCCAAAGCTATAAACTAAATGGGCATCCAATAGAGGTGTCCTAGGTTTTAACTCATCAATAAAGCCGTGAAAATTATGCATTGAAATATGCAGCATATGTACTATATACAACGTGGCCAAAATTATGTGGGAACCCGTGCCGACTTGCATCTAAACCCTCCGTTAGCCAACGTTAGGCGCGCGCGGTATTTTGTAACACGAAACACTTTAAAAAGAAGATATACTTCATGACTGTATTTTTCTAATGATTTTATTAAATATAATTACTAATTAATATTATTGCTTTTGTTTCTATCATTTGTTTCACTAATTTAGTTGATTTTATCCCTTAAATATATTAATATACTAATTAGTATTGCTAAAATATACTGTTACATGAAATTTCAGCTTTTTATAAGCATTTCTTTTCTTGATGTCCTCCCAAAAATATTTTAGACAGTTTAATAAGTTTTCGGTACTCATCTCTCACAATAAGTTTTAGTTATTTAGAGTAAAACCCATTAGGTTTATCAATTTCAGAGTTTACGGCCTATTCACCAGACCCTTCCGGGTAACTAGCCACTCCCTGTGAAAATATACATTTTTATCAAAGTATCCACATAAATAAAACTATATTTTAACATTTGTCAATAAATTATAATATAATATAAGGGTCACATAATAACAAACACAAAATGACTTACGATCGAAGACCTGTGTTACAAAATACCGCGCGCCTAACGTTGGCTAACGGAGGGTTCAGATGCAAGTCGGCACGGGTTCCCGTTTATAGAATGAGCTGAAATTTTTACTGGGAGTATATAAACACGTAATAAATATAATTAGAGGGTATGCGTAAAAAAAAATAAAAATAAGGGACACCCTATTGGAGAGATTGGAGAGGTAAGATTAACAAATTGGTGAAATTTTATCTTCTGATTAAAATGCTGATTTATATCCATGATTTATATAGGTTCTATGCTCCACACCCAGAAGCCCTTAACATTTGATTACAAAAATGTAGGTTATATATCTGTCATTTTAACGCTAATTTCAAAATATATTTTAGATAGGACTAACGTGAAAATGAAAAATTGCAATGAGGAGGATCTTACTAATACCAAAGCAACAATTTAAGTATTTGTTACCTATATGGGACTATTGAAGAAACTTTAAAGTGTTTTGCGTCTCTTTATATTACTCTTTTATTACTAAGTTACGACTAAAGTGGGGAACAATTATTGAGTTCCAAAAAGGTAGCAAATATGTCACTAGCTATAAACTACTATTTGGAACGTAGCTGCTACGTTACTAGAACGTTACAATATCGTTGCTAGACCGTTATAATTACTTTTATTTATTTGTTTTTACTTCTGTATTAACTGTCTTTGTCAAACTAATATTAGATTATAATATCCCTTCTTTTTTAAATGGAACCACTACGGACTTGGCTTTTCAATGTCGTCGTTTATTTACTATGTACTATAACTTCCAGAATAACCTAATGGCAGGTAAATTTATAAACCCTTTAAATTTTACTGTTAAACTTATGAATTTAGTTTTTGTAAAATAAATGCGCTTCATCAATATTTAAGTGTAAAAAAATTATTTATTTAATAATGTTTATAAATAAAAAATCTTAATATTTATTATTAATTAACAAAATTACTATTTATTAAAAAGTAAACAACCATTTACAAACAATTAAAATAATTTATTATTTACATTACCACGTGGTACCGTACAGTAAAAAATGGCCGATAAGAAGCATTTTCCTTTGAAGTAGTTTTGGCTACTTTAAAGTTTTTTCCACCTTAATTTACTTTACGGTAGTTTTGGTTAGTACCATAAACGTTCCAAATACTAAAATAATAACTTTTAAGTTATTAACTTTGTAGTTTTTAGCTCATGTTCCAATTTCGAGATTTTAACTTGCAAAGGGACTACAAAGTAAAAATAATTATAATGTAATCTTAAGGTAGCAACCGAAAGTAACTGCTACAAATGAAATTTACTTAAAAGTTTTTTTTTACTTATAATACCTTTTTTAAAGTTGCAAAGTCTTAGTGGGGGCAACCAAGTTTTACTTAAATGTTTATTACTTTATAGTAACCATTTAAGGAAAGAATTAAGTTTCTGTTACAAAATATTGCTATTTAAAAGTTAGAATTACTTTTAGGTAAAAATTAAAGTAGCTGTTTAATATACTTAACTAATTTAAAGTTATCGCCACTTTGGTAATGGTTTTTGGAACCAAAAATGCTGCTTGGTTAACGTTTGATGTGTACGGCAAAATAAATTTTAGATTTTTTAAATCATCCTAATATGTATATTATACTATACACAGTGTCCCTGAACGAAGTTTAGGTCACATAAAAATGACGCCAAAAACTGATTGCAGTTTCTTGTTCGGGACCCTTTGGTGACTTAAAAATGATATTTACCAAAATCCTAGCTGATCCTCTTTTCGAAATTTTTTGAAAATTCATGATTTTTTTTTTAAATTTTTGTCTACCTTTGACAGAGTACATATTTGTACACCGACTTTAATAATATTGGAGTATATTGTTAAGGAGATTTGGAGAATACTGTTTATACTGTGCACATCATTTAATATATACAGGGTTAGCCAAAAATTGCTTCTTTTAATAAAGCAAAAGCGTAAATTCATGATTTTGGCATAACACGCAAAAAAGATATATACCCACCCATGTTTTTTAGATATTTTTATGTTTATCAGGCTACAAAATGGGATTCTTATCAAGACTTTATAAGAAAAATTGATTTTGAATAAAATTAAATAAAATAACATTTTTTTGTAGATAAATCTGTTATGCTTTTTACGTGATTTTTGGCTAATCCTGTATAAATCTAATTATGTGCTCAGTATGAAAACAGTATTCTCCAAGTCTCGTTAACAATATACTCCAATATTATAAAAATTGGTGTACAAATGTGTACTCTGTCAAAGGTAAGATAAACAAAAATTTTAAAAAAATTAAGAATTTTCAGAAAATTCGAAAAGAGGAGCAGCTAGAATTTTGTTAAATATCATTTTAAAGTTACCAAAGGGTCCCGAACAAGAAACTGCAATCAATAAAAATCGGTGTACAAATCTGTACTCTGGCAAAGGTAGACTTTGCGATAAGCAAATAATTAAAAAAAAATGATTTTTTAACAAATTTAAAGAAAAGCAGTTAGAATTTTGGTTAATACCGTTTTTAAATCTCCAAAGAGTGCCGATCAAAAAACTTTAACCAGTTTTTCGTTAAAAATTGAAAACTTCTAAAAAGCCTAAATTAAACAACATTTTAAATATTCTCTAAGCGTTATTTTATTTAATTTTATTAAAAATCTATTTTTTTAATAAAAGGTTAATAAGAATGCCATTTTGTAACCTAATAAACATAGAAATATCTAAAAAAAAATGGGGATACATCTGTTTTGCTTGTTATGCCAAAATCATGAATTTACGCTTTTGCTTTATTAAAATTAAGCGATTTTTGGTCCACCCTGTATATATCAAATGATGTAAACATTATTAAAAAGTATTCTTTAAGTCTCCTCAATAATATACTATAATTTTATAAAAATCGGTGTACAAA